TAGTTTGGATTGATATCGTGGACGAGGAAGGGCTTCAGCTGGTGGAGGATTCGGTAAAACTTGGACAGTAGCAGAGTTTCCATCCAGGGAACTGCTGTTGCTACGATCGTCTGAAGAACCCGAGAGAGGTGGTTTTTTAGGGAGGTGAAGGTGAAATAAGGAAAGGCTGTATAGAACGGTATAGAACGTTTTTCGCTGAGTAAAGAAACTGTTGACTGGAGAGACGTAAGATTCGAAAATGTATCGTTGTATGCGTTGTGGGCTGTTGTACTACTCGTCGCCTGGTCCAGAGTAGGCCTTGTTCTAGGGTGCACTTTAGGTTTTTCACAACCAAGCACGGACTGCAAGGCAACAGCGATATCCTAGGTGACCCGGTGGTCAGTATTTGGTTAATACGCCTCTTTTCTAAAACATTGTCGAACAATAGATTTCGACAAGGGGCAATGGTCATATTAAGTGGCAGGCCACGCTCGCCTCATTACAGCGCTGTTCACAGATATGTATGGTGTTTTGTGCGGTGAACTCTTGCCAGGAGATAAACCTACTACATCGAGCTCTGCCTCTGATCGTCCGCGACCGCTTATTCGAAGGGCCTAACCCCACCATGTTCACGGTTAGCCGCGAGATGACGGCCGTTTCCCTATCCCCGATCTGGGGACGCGCTCGGTAGAATACAGTTCTGCTTTCGCGCCAAGAGAAGGCAGCAGATGTTATTTGAGACGCTTGGTCGTATGGAAGCATTTCGCGAGGTGCAAGGAAGACGTGACCAACCGCAACCTGAGACGTCCGACATTACGAGGCTGGCTTACTGTACATAATTTAGTAACAGGAGCGTACTCCAGCGTTCTGGAACCACTCGTTCGTCTCTCCAATTTTCAAAGAAGAGTATCGCAGACGAGGTGGACCCCGTAGTCTCGAAGACCTGCAACCTAAGCCCTGGGACAAGGAGTGGCCTCTGCAGGTTAGGTGTGGTATTAAACCGAACAACAGCGAAACTACCTACCACTTTGGTATCTGACACCTCGATTAGGGCTACAGACCGGATTCTAATCTGGTTGTGGCTGTACTGATCAGATTTTTCCGTCGCTTCACACCGTCAACCAGTGGTCACTGCTCCTCGTTGCGAAAGAAGCTTGTGTCTCAATGGACCGCGAGGCTCCCTTCTATTATCTTGTGCCTGTTGGAATACCCCAGAAGTTTGTTAACGGACTATGATAACTATATTCACATGCTTTTGGTCCGATGGGGCACTGTGGAAAACGAAGTAGACAATTCGTCACTAACAGCGTTTTTCAGTTTCTTCGTTGATGGAATGTTGGTGAATACCCTAAGTGGTCTCCAAAATATCGGCATTGAATGGACAACTAAAAAAACTGTGATGCAGAGTACTTTAGCGACATCATCTGTCCGAAAGTTTGGAGGAAGTGTAAAATGTACCTGACATACTAACAAGTGCTTTTGCTCGTTTTGGTTCGAAGTGATGCTGCAAGACTGGATGTTGACTACTCTTGCTTGAAACTAGTTAGTCAAGAACCGGCTGAAGTTGATTGCTTCCTCTGTTTGGGCAGTTGCGTGGTAATTGGCGGCAACGCTCTCAAGGTGACCGCTTTCATATCCGAGGCCAATGCAGCGTGCGCTGGACCAGAACACGCTCGGTGTTGAAACGATGCTTCACAGAACTTGAAAGGCTGCTTTGCGGTTGTGAGACCTTGAATTTTTGAGTAGAAGATGCCGATCGGCTATAGGTCTTCGGCACTTGATGCTTTCATAGTTTGGTGCATGTGAGCCATCGTTTGCTTTGAAGCCTAATTCATCATCACACCGGATTCGAGGTTCAGCTGATTAGGCACGTATTTCACATTCCTCACAGCCTTCTTGTTTCCATTTTCCGCACCAGGTTGGTGCATATCACCTGAAGGTCAATATGGAGACCGAATATGAAGAAATATACTAAATCCAAAAGAATTCGTAACTGGTTGGTTGGTGGCTCGGAAGAATATAGCAGCGAACTGACAACATTTGCTCCTCTCTTTGTTACTTTTATCAGACTCAAACGCTTCACGTGCTGTGTGTGGATAGTTGGCCTGTGTAATATGTGTGCTAACCAAGGAGGTTCACTTTCGTTCCCCTCAAAACAGACCCACCACCCATCTACTTCAAGCATTCATACACTATGTGGTTTAGGAGTTTCTCAGCGATCTGCGACACTTGCTTCACTATATTTCGCTATTTGATGAGAAATTTGGCCATTTGAATGTCGCCTGCCTGTTGACATATTCACAGAATCCGATGCATTCTATAAATCACCTCAATCGGAAACTATCAGATTCACTTGATTAATCAACCTCCTCCTCCCCTCATGTCTGCTCCTAGTTCGATTTATCGAAAAATGGTATATTTTTGTTTTCATTGAAACGACCTAGATCAGGAAACGCATATTGGTAATCACTAAGATTAACGTGTTCTGGTCTTTGTCGACTGCACATAGTACTTTCTAACCTTGAGTTGCACAAATCCTCTAGACTAGAGCTATCTAGAGCTATCTTGAACAGTTTCACTCTGTTACTCAAAGCTGACTTTTGTGCTTTGTCTCACCCAGGTGAAGTATTTGATTATCTGGTTACTCATGGCCGAATGAAAGAAAAAGAAGCCCGTTCGAAATTCCGTCAGATCGTTTCAGCTGTGCAATACTGTCATCAGAAGCGCATTATTCATCGCGATTTAAAGGCAGAAAATCTCCTCCTCGATTCCGATTTAAATATCAAATTAGCTGATTTCGGTTTCGCTAATGAATTTAGCCCGGGCACGAAATTAGATACCTTTTGTGGCAGTCCACCATATGCAGCTCCCGAATTATTTCAGGTGAGTTCATTTGACATGTAACGGCACTCCCTTCAAGGTCTTCAATGTGCTATTTCATACTTTCATTGCCTGAAATTGATGAGTTTTGGAAATTGCTTTGAACCGCATAGCTTAAATTTGCATTGCTTTTTTCAGGGATATCGCTTGTTGCAGATGGTCACGTTTCCAGCTTTCCTGATTACAGGTCCCCAGAATTATTATGACTACGATGTCACGTTCGCCTGGGCAACTGGGCAGTATACCAACCACAAACAAATCTCGCATTGATTTCTTCGTTACAAATATGCTTTTACAATAATTTGTTTAGCAGTCTGATTCCAGATGCGTGTGCGATATTCACAATTCCTTTGCACTTTCGTTCGAGTGACTCGGACAAGTACAGTGTTGGATAAATTTATTCAATCAAGTGATCACGAGACCCAATCAGATTAAAATAGCTGTGCATTGCATCCTACCTTTTCAATTTGCGCCTTATTTGCTCTGTACACCCCGAAGTTCACTACATAATCGACTGATCGTTGACCTGAATCACCTCGGTTTTTCCGATTGGATGAAACTTTTCTTCACTATGTGCTGTACACCATATTTTTGGGCTCTGTTCGTACTTTCAGGCTTTGCCATTTCTGTGATCGTAAACTCTGCCTTTGTACGTGATAGATCAACCGGTACAAACACATCGACTTTGTCATCTAATTTTCACCGTTCTTGTCCACTCGTCAGTCACTGTTTATTGTGCAACGATTATAAACCAACATCTCCCAAAGAAGCTAGTGTTTTACGCATTTTCACGCAGTGGTAACGATTTAAGCACCTAAGTGGGTTTTTGTTTTTGCCTGAAATAACACGCCTAAGGGTTGGCCACAATTTCAAACTTTTTTCTGAGTGTATGTAAAAAAATGATAACAACTAATGGCAAATTAATTTGGGTTTCATGTTTGTTGCGCTAAATAGCCAATTTTCCAAAAGTCTGGGAATTGTTTTTGGGACCATGTAAGTTGCTATCTTCGTTGTAACAAGACAAATCCAAATATTTGGGTTCCGATAATTTTGGGGTGAATGAATTGTTATGTTTGGGCAGTAGGTAGGTGGTGGGGGTGGTGTGTGTATATATATTTCACACGCGTGATAACACGTAGTTCAGACCCTTTGGGGGAATCTAGTGACAAGTGGAATATTGGTGGACGTTTGATTCATGTGATTTTAATCAAATCCTCCAGTCAACCGAAGTAATCCACGGTTTGTAATTAAGGACTTATCTCTTTGAGATATTAACTGTGAATAAGTTACAGCTTACCTCTACCAATAAAAAAAATCGGAAACAGTTGTGGCATTGGCAAGATGTGATGGATTTCAGGCTACTCACCTGATATCCGACGAAAATCACCGAAGCTCATTGACACGATCCTGTCACAAGCCGATGTAACTGACTTTTCCAAACAAAACTTGCATACTTCCTGGTTTGCATCTCGCCGACATAATGTCGTACAAATCACCTGAACAACCAATTCCTCTCTTTCGCTCTCTGATGGGCTAAGTTTCGGTTAACTACGAGCTCCGGTCGATGCAGTTGACGAGAATTCCCTGGTTGATTTAGTCTCCCGCGAAGATTACTCTCCCCGCTTTTTTCTGAACTGAATGAGAATTCTAGTTAGTTACAGTTCTCATCGCATCTTAAACCACGTTTCCCGTCTCCCTAAATTCTTATTTCTTATACCGTATTTCACGCGTATCTGAGTCCAGACCTTGTGCTAAACGAATCAAGATACAACAGTCTTTATAACAATGTAATTGGCCCATGACTTACTGGACCGGAGTACTGCTAGATTGTACATCGAAAGTCTAATCTGTCCTCATATTCCATTCTCTCATGTCTGGGCCCGTTTCACCTAATCTCTATGCATGGGTGGGTGGAAGGATAATATAATTTCGAAGTACCAATTGCAGAAGGCTCACTTTGATGACAATCCTTTTGATTTGTCTTCTTTCTCATTGTCCTGAATATTACATCTGTCCTTCAAGAGCCAAGTACATGCTACGACTTTATGCTAGGTTTCATTTTTTTAGTGGGCGTAAAAAACTGCTCAATTTGCTTCTAAGGTTTCCCGTGTCCGGTGAAACAATCGAAATAACATTGTTGGAGTCTGACATACGTGATTGACAAACTGAACACGTTTTTATTTGTTCGGTCTTTGCAGATAACATTGAATGGGAATCAAACAAGTATTCTGTGTGAATCGTTTGTTGAAGTAGATGGTTCCCGAAAAGTGTATGGGCGCGGCCAGTACACGACTACGCAGAAAAGTACACAAATATTGACCACTGGGCTGTATGTTGCTATGGTGATCCTAGGTAATGTGCGCTTGCGCATCTATCCATTGTTTTAATTTACCTAATGCGTTTTTTTTCAACATTTGGATTTTAGTAGTAATTTTTGTCTTCTGATTACACAGTCTACGGGAGGATGACAATTGCAAACAGGGCACTAGGTTACATAAGTAGTTAGTTGGCGTGAAAATTCCAATTTTTGCCTCATTTTGAGATTGATATTATTCTATCACAATAATTGTTCTCTTTCGAAATATGCTACTCAATTCTTTCGATCTTACCTGCAACTTCCCGTGGTGCACGCTCTTTAACCTGCCGCCTTTCACCCTTTCGCTACAAAGTATGCTGATTATTCTTTTGCGCGAGGTGTGCGTATTTTCACGTGTTATTTGTTACACTTCATCCAACAAACAGGTAACAACCACCATTTAAGGATAGTAGGCAATTCTCTCGTCTATTGACTGCTTTTCTGTCTAATATCTGACTCAGCATTCATTCCTGTATTCAGTTCAATAAAACTTAATCTATCTGCTTCTCACATACCGATTATTTGGAGGATTACTCGTTCAATTCTTTATGCTTCCGTTACATTTCTCCCGTCGCGGTATCAGGGGAAAAAATACGATGGCCCTGAGGTAGATGTATGGTCTCTGGGTGTTATTCTCTACACTCTGGTCAGCGGTTCCCTCCCATTTGACGGACAGAATTTGCGCGAGTTGCGCGAGCGAGTTCTGCGAGGCAAATACCGAATCCCATTCTACATGTCCACAGATTGCGAATCCCTCCTGAAAAAGATGCTTGTCCTCAATCCGGCCAAACGCTATAGTCTGGAGGTAAGTTTAATCCCAACCGCACTCCGGTTGGTGTGGCAGTGAGGGATTCGCATTTAATAGTACACATACAATTTTATCAAACCACCTAATACAAGGTCTGTTGCTGTGTGTGAAAATTTTGGTTGTACAAGGAGTGCAATTGTTTCTGGTTTTAAAAACTATTAGACGTATTTTATCATTCATATCGTATTGTTGCTTGTTCCCTTTTCTGTTCAGATTTTCGATCGATTTCCCTTGAAGTTTTTTATTCTGTCGATTGACCAAATCGATGACGTCGTAGTTAAGCACCTTTCTATTGTCTGAATAGTTAAGGTAACATTCTGATCATTCTCTACACAGCATGCCTACACGAATCAAACACAAGTACACACGATAACCTGAAATGGACATTTTCGCACACTACACTCTATCCCTATGAGCGGGCGTAAACAAAAGACAACAAAGAAACCAGACTTTTAGTCGGGTTATTGCATTTCGCCTAACCCGCAGGTAGGTTGTAAAAACTGGTTATCGGTTTATATTGGATTTCGAGGGTGTGAGCACAATCGACCTTAGAAGTTTACTCAAATGTCGTGAAAGTAAGAGCTACAAAAGAAAACACCAGCGGGATCGATACAAACGCCCCTCATCGTACGTGTGTGTGGGTTTAAAGTTTATGAGTCTAAAATACCTCAAATCTTGTTTTCTGAAACGGAATAACACTATTTGGGATACGCCGAAATGTTAATATAGAACTTACAAAACTTGCAAAACTGAGCATGAGAGATAACGGTTTTCTATCTTTTCAGTAGTATACTTATCGACGGATTCATGATATTCAGCGCCCAGTCAAGATTCGGCAGTATTAGACTAAAGGACTTCACTTATATATACCTTCGGTGCGTTGTATTTCCCATCCTTGGTAAACTTTTACATCCTGTGTAAAAGGGATGGCCACCCATTTATCAAATCCGTATCAGTGGAAATTTATCTCGTTTCAATGTTCATCTTATTTTTATCTACAGGCCGTCATGAAAGACCGATGGATCAATACTGGCTATGAAGACAATCCCCTCACTCCCTACGTTGAACCCGAGCCAGACTATACGGATCCTGTTCGTATTGAAATTATGGTTAATATGGGTTTCAACCGCGATGAAATTTTAAAGTCCCTAAAGCAAGGCAACTTTGATGATATCACCGCCACCTATCTCCTACTTGGCCGACGACGCTCATCCCTGGAGAGCGAGTCGCGCGATGGATCCAGTCTTTCCCTTCGGTGGGTATTCGCCGTTTCTTGTCAGTTGCCCTCGGTTTTGTTTGAAATTTGATCTTGAGGAAAAAATAACACTTGCATTCCAGCTTACCAGAAGGGTTGATTTTTGTGTCCAACAGAATTTGTGTTTAGTCTTGATTACAGGCTACTGTGGCTCAGAATTAAACTGGCGAAACACACCGGAATCCCCCTATGGAAACACGGACGCTGCGCCGTTTGTTGGTGGAGCTGTTTACCACTTAATTTGAAAATTAGTGAACACCGAAATGTCAATAACTTGACCCGTTCGATCACTGCTGTCCAGCTGTGTTCGCGTGCTGTTCAATTTCACCATATACTGATTACCATGTATCTTATTTTCACTCTTTTCAGGCAAAGCAGTCACATGATCTCCTCAGCATCTGCCTCAGCAGTTGGCCCATCCGGCAATTATGCCCCATCAGTGCCAAGTGAAATCACGTCTAACGCGGCCAGCGGTGACGATGGTCCCTCAGGCACCTCTATTGGTGCCACTAGTCCACCTTCGCTTAGTGGCCATATTGCCAGTGGCAAAGGGATCGTTTCCATACCACCACGTTCGGTCAGTACAACCCCTCCAGATACAAGTATAACCACTGGTGTGTCTGCATCTAGTGCTACATCCAAGACAAACGACACGAACGCGTCCGTATCGGCTACAAACAGATCTGGTAAGTTCTGTGGATCCCATCTTGTGTTTTGTTTTCCCACGACGGGAGGGGGCTATCATGTGGTTGAATTGGTTGTCTGACTGAGAGTTGCTATGAATTGCAACGTGTAGAACTCACAATGCTAAATGCGTTTTGACAAACAATCAGGAGTTGTGCATGATGTGGGGTACCTTTTTGTGGTGTTAGGTTTATTCAAACGAGCGACTGGGTCTACTAGATCACTTTTAGGTTTCCTTGGTGACGCTTACAGGACGTACCTAGCATGACTAAGTGTTGCGCTCAATAGCCTTCATACGTATTTTAAATGTACAATCGCATAAATTAATCATTTTCCCAATCTCGCAACTTAATTTCACAACTTCGTGTTGTGATCTGCTATGGACGGCAGGCAAAGCCAGTTAACCATTGTGTGGGGTTATTATCTGTTTGAACTGAACTGTTCTTTATGTTATGTTCCCTTCCCAATATCAGTTCACACATGTGAGGCATGGATAGTGCCTGAAACTGAAACCGCGCTTCCGCTGTGCACAATCGTCCGTGCCAGCGGTGGACACATAAAATCTAAATGTATACTCGTTCATCAAGAGATCTAATTCAAGGGATTTGATGTGTCGCCGCACGGACTGAACGTATATATCTGTTAGTGAATGTAAGACGCACCTTGTGACAACTGGCATGTTGGACTATTAAAATTTCCGCTGATACGATTTATGAGTCGTGCCAGTGAGAACGACTTTTGCGATGTTATCCAATGGTGTGTTCCTGATATATTTGCACCTTGTGCTCTCATCAACATAACCGTACACTTGCTGTCCGCAAACCTCAACCGATTGACTGACTATCCACCGAGCTCGTTCCATTCAAAGTTTTAATCTTTTCTAGTTCGTTTTGTCCATACTGGTTTTCTTCGAATAGTTAATTTGTTTGAGGACTCACAAGCCTCTTCGATTCCTTTGTTCATACTGCTGGTCATTTTGGTCCAGTCCTAATTTGTACCAGGTTGGCTTCGCTGGCGGTAGAAAAAATTGTTTTTTAGTGGCTTTCTGGATTTGTTTCGTTTCTACACCCTCCACGACAACATGTCGCGCTGATTCTCTTTCGTCTCTGACAAATCGATACCTTGCTTTTGTATAGAAGCCACACCCAAGAAACTTACCGTTGTGCATGGAACGCTTCACAGTTACTTAATAAAGCGAGTCATTCGCGTTTTCCTGTTTCTAGTTGATCATCGATTGTCCTCATCTAATTGGGTGTAACCTCGCTTGTTCCAAACTTCCCGCGGCTTGTGCCAGCCCACATAAGGTCATGTTACGCTCTCACATCAAAAGACTAGTGCACATTAGTCTTATTCAACAACTCAATTGTAGCAAGGTTTCTAAATCACTAGAACTTTATATCCCACCATGAATTGACGAAAATCAGAATGATGGCCAACACAAACTTAGTGTTTTAACCTATTCGACAAGAATAAAGGTGTTTTTCTAGTTTTTGGTTGATGATATTGTGTCGGTAATGTGCATGAATTGAACATAGAACAAAATCGCGTGACAATTTCGAAAGATTTTTATTGGGAAAGTGATGTGTTAGATACAAATTTCCAAGACAAGTCAAGAAGGCACTTTATTCATCCAATGTGGACAGAATTTTCAGTGAAAAGAATGTTATCGCTTTTGCTTTAGCATGCGCGCTATTAAAAAGGAGCTTAAAGATATGACTAATAGTTACTCAGATGATAATGAATAGGATATCGACAACGCGTAAAAAAATAAAGAAAATTTCAACATGAAAATTTACATTAGACTGTGTATAAGTTCGTTTGATATTCACAGTAGGTCGAATGACATAAAACGCATGAGAAAATAAATTTGGAG